ATTAAATGGGAGCGGGGGGGAAGCTGCACCCTGCCCCCCCACTCCTCAGCCCCAAACAGCGCTTGAGGAGGGGGGGCCAAACCGCAGCCCCCCAACCCCCCTCCCTTGTGTCCGTTTCTCCCTTTTTATACCCCCCCCCACCACCACCACCACCATTTCCTTTCAATGGGTTTTTTGGGTTCCTCCTTTCCACCCCACCCATGGGTTTGCAGGGGGGGGCTCCCTACGACGGGGGGGGGAGGCTGAGGGGGGGGGGCCACCCCCTAACTGCCCCCAGGGCCGGCGTTCAGGAAGTAGGTGGTCATCTCCCCTTTGCCTTTAACCTTCACCAGCCCCCGGCACTCCAGCACGTAGCCCTTGGCTGCCAGCACCTGGTACAGGTCTGTGGTCACCTGAGATGGGGAAGGGGGGGGGATTGGGGTGAGAAATGGGGTTTGGGGGGGCGCAGGGACCCCTCACCCCCCCCCCCAAACCACCCCCAGCTCACCTGGATGCGGTCGGGCACGCCGGTGCTGTCCATACGGCTGGAGACGTTGACGGTGTTGCCCCAAATGTCGTATTGGGGTTTGCGTGCCCCGATCACCCCCGCCACCACCGGGCCCATGTTGAGACCTGGGGGGCGACAGAGGGTGGTGTGTGCCCCCCCCCGTGGGGTCTGGGGGCGATGGGGCAGTGTGGGGTAAGGGGGGGGCGTGCAAAGGGGGTGTGCAATATGGAAAGGGTCGTGTGTGCAATGGGGAAGGGGTGTGCAAGGGTTTGGGTGTGCGAATGAGTGTGCAAAGGGGAGCGAAGGCAATGGGGTGGGTGTGCAAATCCCACCCCTGTGACCCGTCATCCCAATCCCTTCTGATTCCTATCCCCATCTCATTTCAGTTCCCATCCCGATCCTAATCCCAATCCCATCTCGTCCCCATCCCCATTTCAATCCCAATCCTAATCCCACCTCATTCCCATTCCCATCCCAATCCCATCTCATCCCCATCCCGATCCCAATTCCATCTTGTTCCCATTCCCATCTCAATCTCAATCCTATCCTATCCCCATTCCCATCCCATCTCATCTCCATCCCAATCCCGTCTCAATCCCAATCCTATCCCATCTCCATTCCTGTGACCCATCATCCCCATTTTAATCCCATCTCATCCCCATCCCCATCCCAACCCCATTCCATCTCATCCCAGTCTCAACTCCTTCTCATTCCCATTCTGATCTCAATCTCAATCCCATCTCATCCCCATCCCAATCCCAATCCCATCTCAATCTCAATCCTATCCCATTCCCAATCCCATCTCATCCCCATCCCCATCCCAATCCCAATCCTAATCCCATCTCATCCCATCCCCATTCCCATCTCAATCCCAATCCTATCCCATTCCCAATCCCATCTCATCCCCATTCCAATCCCAATCCTAATCCCATCTCATCCCCATTCCCATCTCAATCCCAATCCTATCCCATTCCCAATCCCATCTCATCCCCATCCCCATCTCAAGGGTTCGCACGTGCAAAGAGAAAGGTGTGTGCAAGGGTTTCCATGTGTAAAGGGCGTGCAAAGGCCACAGGGTGTGCAAACCCTGAGAGATATCAGAACTTTTGCAACGCAGCGAGCTGCGCCAAGACCTCGGCGCGGTGCTGGGGGGCGGAGAGGCTGCGTGTGCAAGAGGTCACGGGCGTGCAAGGGGTGTGAGGGCACGCGCAGACGCACCGATCTTCATCTGGAAGTTGTTGAAGGAGTGCTCGTTGATGTACTTCATCTGCTCCATCAGGTGCATGGCGTAGTCGGCCAGCGCGGCGATGTGGCTGCGGCCCTCGCGGTCGTAGGTGGCGGCGTTGAGCCCCGAGGCCGCCATGTAGGTGCTGCCGATGGTTTTGATCTTCTCCAGCTGGCGGTATTTCTGCTCGCTGATGATCTGCGGGACGCGGGCTTTCGGCTTTTGCTGCGCTGCCCGGACCCCATCTGCAGCCTCAGCCCCACGGCGCCGCGTCCCCGTTACATCCGCACGTGGCCCAACCCGGGGTCTCCCCACTCTGTGCCCCCCCAGGACCCCCTGCACCCCACCCTGCAGCCCCCCATGCGTTCTATCCTTGTGCACCCCACGCACGGTGCTCCGTGCTCCCCCCAGGACCCCCCTGTATCACACCCCATGGTCCCCCCATGCGTTCCACCCCATGCTCTCCCCACACATCCCACTCCCTGGTCCTTCCAGGACCCCATTCACCCCACCCCTTTGTCCCCCCATGCCTTCTATCCTTGTGCACTGCACACACGGTGCTCCATGCCCCCCC